CAAACCGATGTCCTTCGTCTAAGTGGACATTTTATCACACTCAATCGCTCTACACAGGAGTTCATTTCTGTAGTAAGAACGATGGGCAGAAGGACACTGACCAGGTGTCAGTTTCCAGAAGTTCACACACACCTCCAGCACACAAAGGTACGTACAGCTCAGAAAATGACCACAATGTACATAGTTTCCGCCAAAATACCATATTTAGGGTCAGAGGCGGACAGTAACTAAGTACATTTACTTGAGTATTGTACTTGAGTACACTTTTTGAGTATCTGTACTTTACTTGAGTATTATTTTTTCTGGGAACTTATGACTTTAACTTCACTACATTTGAAAGACAAATATTGTACTTTTCACTCCACTACATTTCTATGCACATGCTGCGCACAGACCCCGCAAATAAAAGGCGTGACGATTAAAGCATGTGTGCAGCGTGTGCATAACAGTCCTGAGCGCAAGCTGTACCGATGGTCAATAAGAATAAAGCGCAGATATGCTGTTCTAAATGGACGTCGGGAACGGGATATTGTTAGACCGCCCGCTCCCGTTCAAATTACACTAGAGTTACCGACCGCTACCACGTTTTATTCGGGAATTTAAATCCCGCTGTGTAAAAAATCCGGTCGGGTCCAGCGGGAATGCAGACCTCTAACATGATCTTTCAGAAATCATTCTAGTATGCTGATTTTCTGTTCAAGAAACATGTATTGTTATTATCAATGTTAGAAACAGTTATGCTGTATTTGTGGAAATCGTGATACATTTTTTTTCAGGATTGTTTGATAAATAGTACACTACATATACATTAATGGCGTTACTGTTAGTTTTGATCAATTTATTGCATCCTTGCTGAATAAGTATTAATTTCTTGAAAAAAAAAAAAAAAAAAAAAACTTACCGACCCCAAATAAATTGCATTCAAATATATAATAAACATTGCATGATCCCTGGCAGTTCTCACCCCATGAAAAATGCCTACGGAAATGCTTATTTATTCAGCTTTCAGGTGATGTATAAAACTCAATTTCATAAAATTTACCCTTATGACTGGTTTTGTGGTCCAGGCAGGGTCACATTTTACCTCATGTAGTTTCCTGATTTTTTAATATGATCATAAAAAAAGAACAAACGTTTATCTCAAAAGCTAAAACAGTGATATTCCTAATATTAATTACAATAATTTCAAATTATATTCATGTCTTTCTATTAAAACAACAAGAAAGATTTTGTATTGGTGCACAGAGTTTGCATATGTGCATTTATTTAACAACCCAATCGCTAAAAATATAGTCGAGATCCATGTTTGAATTTATTACAGTTTGTCACTGAGAAAGTTTGATGGAAGATTTAGTTGCACCAAACAGCTGGAACAACTGTGTGAAGGATCACAGACTGGCTGCATTACTCTTTCATTTCGGAATATCTCAATTGAGATTGCTAAACTCCAACTTATATGTTTGTTGATGTTTTCAGCTCATCAGCGCTTTTTCCATAGTGTAAGAGAGAGCTTGTGTGAATGGCTGCGAAGGTAAAATAAAACACAGTGAAGAAAATGTGTCCTTTTAACATAGGGCAGTGGTTCCCAAACTTTTTGCAGCGTGCACCCCTTTCTAGTGTTTGACACATGTCAAGCACCCCCACCACCGTACTCTGGTTAAACACCACTTTTTTTTTTACTTCAATACAAGTATAAATACAAGTATTCACTGTATACAGGGCTTGACAATGTGTGCAGTTGTGTTCATTTGTTTCGATTTTCTCCATGAGATTGTCTCAACTGCCGCGACCTTGTTACTATTGATTATCCATTATGAATTGCCGTTTAGGCCTACACCAAGTGTAATAAAATCAGAATCATGCTCGCCGAAATTTTGGTGCTTCCCTAATTCGATGTTTTAATAAGATTAGATTAGTTGTCCGGTCGGGCAAGTAAAATTCTCTTTCACTTGCCCCTTCAAAAAAAGCACACAGATCATCAAAAGCATTATCTCGCGCACCCCTGCTGGTCGGTCTGTGCACCCCTAGGGGTGCGAACACCCCAGTTTGGGAACCGCTGGTTTAAACGAATCATTGCACCCCTAGGGGTGCGCGCACCCCAGTTTGGGAACCGCTGTCATAGGGGGATTTAAACTCTTGACATCTGGCAACCCCAAGCATGAAAGTTTGTGGAGGTCCATATTTTTTTCTCCTCTTTTTTTTTTTTTTTGAAGAAAATTGAAATGGTAAGACATTTAGGATATAGAGTGTTTTTATTTTTTTAACTACATTTTAGTCAAATTTTTTGTCAACGATATTTCCTGTTTATACAGTTAGTTTTAAATGATGCCAGTGTTGTCTTGTGTTAGTCATAAAAAAAAAAAGGTTGTCAGCTTGTTTTTTTTTTTGTCATAGTTTTTGTTACTGAAATTAACGCTACTCCAGACTAACCCAAACCTTAAAGGAAAACAAAGCAATTACATGACATTCTTAATCTTTTGTCTTGATTTCCAGTAAAACATCCTTAAAATAAGATCAGTTTACTAAATTGTTTAAATTAGGACTTGTTTTGGAAAGAATGATTCATGATTTAGGTTTATTTTTGTTTTAATTTTAAATTTGTTTAATTTATTTTAATTTATAATTAAAATATTTGTCATCCAAAGTAAAGCTAGTAAACCCACATACACCCTCATAGGTGTGTACACATTTCTCACACTTTGAACTTAGACACACTTAGACACAGAAACTGAGGTTTGACAACACTAATATTTTTCAGTATTCATTATAAAGCAACGTGTGAGTCAGTAGGTTGCTTCAGCAGTGTCTTTGATGCATTTCCAAGCAAGAAATCAAGAATCAGTCAAGTCGTAAGTAGGGCTGGGCAAAAAAAAAAATCGATTTTTCGATATATCGTTTTTTAAAATCGAATCGAAAATCAAAATCGAAATCGAATTGAATTGAGAGCTTGAAAATCGAAATCGAATCGAATTGGAACATCTGAATCGATACCCAGCCCTAGTCGTAAGCATGCAGACGGTCATATGATTACCACACAAATACTCACAAACACATATGCATTCTTTCACACAGTGCACAAACATTCCCACTCGCATATTTTCTTCAGTGCACAAATTACCCAGTTGCCCACATGATCGGACATGCAACACACTAAAGGCCAAGGGAAACCTTTATGCACTTGTGTGGCACATACAGACACATGCTTTATAGACACTCGAATGAATCTCTGTACTAGGGCACTCATACTAAGCGAATTACCCATATAGCCTCCCAAGAGACCCCACTCTTTCTTACTCCTCTATTCCCCCCCCCATGTCTACCTCTCGTTCTCTCTGTCTCTCTACACACCCCTCCTTACACCCGCATCAGCTGCATTCCAGAGATGACATCATCAGTTATGTAGCCCCTCCCACACTCCCACAGGGTGGAGAGAGAGAGAGAGAGGGAGAGAGAAAGGAGGGAGTTCAAGAGCATTGGGTTGGGTAGGGCTCACCATAGACAGAAAGAGAAAAAGAAATACAGAGAATAACAGAGGGACGTGACAACGAGACATGAACTTGAAAAAGCATGAATCAGGACATAAGAGGTAAATTTAAGCTGTTAAAGAGGACACAATAAAGAAAACGAGAGACGTTCGACAAATTGGAGCTTTAGGGAATGTTTTTTCTCTATTAGTGAGTTTCGGTTTTCTGTTTTGGTTGCATTTGCATGTATTAGCAGACTGCATGTACTATGCGATGTTAGTCAATTTGCTTGTCTGGAGCCGGACAGCGTTTTCGTCAGCCAGCCATGTCTCTGTTTTGTTAATAAATTCTTAATGTAGCACATGTCAGTGTGTTTTGAGGTTAGTGTTGATGGAGGGCTGGTGCTTCTGGTCAGCTTGACATCCTCTCTACAGTTACAGAGCAGTCACTGCATGGGTCGTGCAAGTTGTTGAGGGTTTGGAGTCGATGTCTACTCGTTTGTAACATTATACTGCAAAAATAATTTTTGAAATCAGTATTTTAGTCATATTTCTATTTCAACATCCTTAAAACAAAATAAATTTAATTTAGAAGGTGGTTTTACCTTTTTTATAATATGACGTGAATTAAGTTTGAAATTTCTCTTATCCTATCCTTATCCTTTTCTTATGTATTTTTCTTGCTTTAACCATAAATCTAAATATCACATATATGTATAATATATTCAGAGAGATTTAATGTTAAAACTAAATCAATTGTTTAAAAAAAATAATTTAATCTCTTTAAATAAATTAGAAACACCTGTCCCCTCTGTGGGACGCCTAAGTTTACTTCACTAATCATGACAAACTATATATCGTTGGAAAGGTCTAAGACTCCTAAATAGATATTTTACCAATGTTTTTGTTAAAAATTATGTAGGAAAAGTAATAGATTAATTTTTGACAAGAATGCACCTCAAAAATCTACATCATAACAGGAGTTCTGACCTTTGTCAAAAAAAGTCTTCTTTGTTGCCTTTTTCTCTATCACACTTTAGAAATCATCAGAAATTATATATCAATTGAAAACTTTAAATCTCAAAATTCATCTTTGAAACCCATTTTAAAATCAAACATTGCATTACCATGAAAATGGTACATATTAAATATTTATTACATTGTGGTGTTGTGGTGAATCTCTCATAAATCTCTCAATGATTTCCTTTTTTTCCCTGATGATTTTTAGATCATTTTAGAAAATTATTAGAAATCATCAGCTTTTGTCTTATCGCCAGACATCTTTAAATAAGCCAGTTTTGGTGTTTGAAAAATTGAATAAGCTAGTACTACACTGAAACTCAGTATTATGACACAATCACATGATCAGTATAGTAATAGTGTCTCATGGTCAGTATGTAATAGTAATGTCATCTCTCTTACCTATTTTTTCTATGAACTTTTCACATCCATTCCTTGATGCCTTTCTCACTCTCTTGAACTTATGTCACCCCTTTATGTTCCTTTAGAATTAAACAGTTGTATTTCTCTCTTTCAGGCATATTCCCATGATGCCTACCTAAGAGGGAACAATCCATATACAGGAAAGGCCCAGAATCTTCCTCCACCACCCCCTGTCCTCTACCCTCCACGTACAAAAACCCAGCCTCCTGCGGGGTACCCCCCCAGCCCTGCCCCAGCTTCTTCACACATGGGGCAAAACCAGCTGGACAACTGGAGCCGCTGGCCCGGCTCCTCGTCTGGTCCCTCTCCGCCCCTTGACAACCGGACAGTAGCTTCCAATGCCGTCTGGGCAGCCGAGGGCAGAAGCTGTGAGCCAGGAGGTGTTGGTCACAGTAGCCCTGCACACCGAACTGAGGAGATCCAGTATGGAATGACTGACAGGGGACAGCAGGCAACCGGACAAATGAGAGGATGCTCATATTCATCATCTTCCTCCTCTGGAGGGATGATGAGCCCATTGCATCATGCTCATCTCGCCAACCACAACGTGGGGCACATCGGAGGCCGCAAGGAAAGCCCACCTTGGGCCAGCCCTTCTCAGTCAGCATCAACACCCCCATCCAGCCGCAGCGAATGCACCCAACAAGCCCTTTCCGACTGGTACTACAGCCAGGTACCAGGCCGGGAACGGGAACGAGAGCGATCAAATTCTCGCTCTATGCATCCACGCCACAGGAGTTTCTCACAGGATCGTCTAGGTGAGCTTGGAAAGGCCAGGCGTTCGCAGCAAGCAGGTTTTCCCCACAGTGCATCGCAAGACACATTGCTGCTGCTTCAGCAGAGCTCGGCAGCATACGCCGATCCTCACTGGAACCACGGAGACTGGCGGGGTGAACATGCTTATGGACAGCACCCATCCGCAGTGGCCTATGGGCGAAAGTCCTCCGAAAACCTTCTCGCAAGCCGGTACGGACATTCGGGACGTTCACTGGAAACTCTCGACAGAGCTGTGGGGATACTCTCACCACGACTCGAAAGATCTACTTGGGTCCAGCAGCCTCCAAACAGGACTGAAAGCTATCTGAGACGTGGCGGACATTGTGAGTCACACCACCAAATCCAGCAGCACCACCACCAACACACACCTCAGCATCAAAACCTCTCACACGCAGCGCACCAACACTCATCTCAGACTCCGCAACCACAGCAGGCAGCTCCACAGGCAAGACGTTTGCCTTCTTGCCAGAGTCTAGACGAGGAGACGATCGGCTATCGTAGCTACAGCCCCTCTTTCAACCGGAAGACCGGCCGTATCTTGCAGCAAGCCCAGTCTTTCAGAGACCCCTCTTATACAGGTCCACACCTCTGGACCCCTACACTCAAAACCAGTCCTCCAGAGGGGCTTCCACCCTCTGCCTCTCCTTCCCCAGTTCCACCAACCACCTCCTCTACAACTGCTATTCCCACACCCCTTGAAGGACAAGACAGAACTTACCGACCCACTAATCACGACAGAGGGGCAGGGGAAGCAACAGGTGAAGCCCAGACACAGGAAGTGGTTCTGAGGCAGAAACCACCCACCGGCCGAAGGGGTGCGAACGCCCTACGGCATCCACATTACGGCATAGCACTTGACTCCAGTGACCCTCTACTCTTTACCTCTGATCCTACGGAGCCCCCTGCCAAAGCGGAGAGTGCTATTTCTCATCGGCGTACGAACGGTAACCTACCACCGCTATCCATAGAGGATGATTCCCTCGCGTCAATTCCCTTTATAGGTAAGTCCCTACTGACTCTCATGTTCTTTTCTTCTTGGTGTATTCAGAATACTGTTCCATCTAGTTCTCGGTTTCTCCCTCTCTTTCTCTTTTCTCATCATTTGTTTGCTCTATCCTGCACATGGTTGTTATTTAACAAGGAAACTGATTAAGCATCCAGACACCATTAAAATAGACTGATGGGAATGTTGGAGAATGACTGTCTTAATAACTCACAACCCCACTGGTCTTACCCTTCATTTCCTATGTCTGGTGAACCAGTGTGCATGTCTGCATTAGGTAATGCTGGAATCTCCCATGGTCAGCCTGACAATATTAGTTGTCTGTGACTGAATCAGACTTACTGGATTTAAAGTAGTCCTATTTTTCGTTCTTCCTTTCCTTTTTTTTACACTCTTCCAGTGCCTCACCCAACTCCATCCTGTTTCTACAGTTTTAGTAGACGCTTCTGTCCAAATTGACGGCATTCTTTGGGAATTGAGCTCATGACCTTTGCATTGCTAGTGGCACGCATAACTGTTTGAGTTATGGGAACACTATGAAGCTAAAGGACTTGAAGTGCATTGTCTTGACGTGAATTGTCTCGAATATTTAAATACTGTAGAAATGTTGATTGATTGGCTAAGGCACAGTTGTATGAATAAGTATGTTTTATACCCTATCCTTATTTTAGGGACAAAATAGCTGAAAAATATCTGCAGATGTTAACTTAAGTCACCCTTAAATGGGGAAATGGTTTATAAATATGTAAAGTCTTAGGGTAAGGTTAGGGTTTGATTGGTTTTATTTGAAAAAAGCAGCTGTCTAAGTGTGTGTAGTTTGTGTGTTTGCTCTGGCCTGTAGCTCAAAGTGATCTTGTCTCTGCTTGCCTTTATTACTAAACCATAGTGCAAGAGGAAATCTGAAACAAAATGGCTGGCTGAATGCAAAACATTCAAAACAAACGGTGATAGACACCAAAACTAGATAGACCAAAACTCTTAATGTAGAGTGGTTATATATGGTTGGCCATGAATCTCTGTTTCCTCTAATTATATGTTTATAGCACAGCTGGATTCAAGTGGAGTGCTATTGATTTTGCAGTTTCCTTAAAAGCTTTCAGTTGGTCATTTGCTTTCCTTTAACATTGCATTAGAAGTTGTAATGGCAACATTCAAACAAAACCACTTAATTTCAGGCCTATTTCTTTTTTAGATTTTTAGAATTTTTAGATTGTTCGGATCTTTTCACTGCTGGACATCTTTTTATGATCTGTTGTGATTGCATAAGCTGTTGTTAGTGCAGTGCATTCATTCCTGAGGGAGGTTAAGCCTAAAACCACTGTGCATAAAAGTGCCCCACCTTTAGCATTCAGTACAGACGAGAAGTTTGTTTCTGCTACCACACACCTGTACAGTGCAACACACCCCTTGAGTTAGACACTTCAGTTTGATTACATTTGTTAAAATGATCTTGCTTATATTATGTGTTTGTGTATGTTTAGGAGAAGTTGTGGAGTATTGCAAAAATGTGACTACATATTTAAGATGGGAGCAGGTCGGTGTATCCCAGGCCCTGGTTTAGAGATTGATGGAGGCAGAACAGCATAAAAGACTCTGAAACAGAGAGGACTAAACTGAAACTAACAGAAATGCTCACAAGCTGGGGCATGTTACACCATACTGATAAAAACACAACAGACAGTCTGTTCTTGCTTTACCTGCCATGTCAGTGGAGTTGTTTGTACTGGAATTTCTCTTATTGATTTGGGGTGAATGGTTTTCAAACTGCGTTATCGTGTTAGTGCAATTGGATCTTTGTTTTGTGTAAAGATGTCATTCAAGTCATGATTACAACCAGAAAGCATAAATAATATTCATTGTATAAGGCCATATCTATATCAATCTACAGCATGCAACAAACTAAAAGCCTGTTCATGCCTTGTTTAAAACTGAGAAGATTTTTAGACAAACGTTTTAGATAAGTGTGATACTATTGTAGGGTTTATATATATTAAATTCATTTTTATTTTTTCATTTTTATTTAAATTTGTTAATATTTTTGTAATTTTGTTTTGCTTTTGTTTGTTTTTTGTAAATATGCCTATATTGTTTTTAATTCATTTTTATATTTTATGTTATTTTACTTAACTTAAAAAATATATTTTATTGTTGTTAACTATAATAACCCTGGTTACTGCGTAACTTACCTGGTAACCTGGTTACTCCAAAATCTTTAAGGAAAAGCAAATAACAAACAAATATTTTTTTTTAAATTCCAGCCCACATAATAATAATACCCAATCACTTTTTATCACTTTATGAACATATTTTACTAAAAGTCATGCTGATCAGAAATCTCCGGTTCATTCTTACTGAAGTTTCTGTAAAACGTGTCTCAGTTAGCAACAGTAACTGAGGGAGGTGGAGCTTAGTGAAGGGTCATTTCTGTTAAAACATTTTTCAGAGGAATGAGGAAAGTTAAAATAGTTTTGGAGTGAATTTAGTTGTATCACACAGTGTTTACTTTTGTGTTGTTTAGTTCCTGAAGACATGCACTTTATAATCGTGTAATGAACTGAGAATGGCAGAAGGAAGAGGGGCAGGGAGCAGGGGTTTTTGGGGTTAGGGGTGAAGGACACACACATACACACTCTCACACACAATCAGATATTACCGGACACAATCGGCACACTCAGCTCTTTCTGCCCTCAGTGTGGTCATTGTGTCTCCAATAAAAAGGGGAGGAGTCTTCACTCCACCAACCATTCACACACTAAAAGGCTACACGCAAAAGATATTTGCACATCCGCACACACGTTGTCTACCTTAAAACCCATCTTGTTTTGGAGAAATCCCTCTCACCACACTTTTGCTCATATTACAGTGTTGTCAGGCCTGGTTTCATTTTGATTTGTGACACTATAAAAGGAAACCTCACCATGTTCGTTATATTTGTGTTCTTCACTCTATGGTTTTGTGGATGTGTCTGCAGAAAGACTGCATATCGTGGCCAGTGAGAGTCCGTTCATGGAAGTACTTCTGGTGGGTTGGGCTATTTACAGCATCTCATCTGAACCTCAAAATAAGACTGTTGCACATGACTGATGTTGAAGTAGTACAGATTGATTTTGTATGTGCTAGTGTTGTATGTCCATGATACAGACTCTATGGAGTTGTGTGTGTGTGTGTGTGTGTGCTCATACTCAGGCTTCAGTAATGAGGGCCTTTGTTAAACCCACAGAACAGCTATTTCTGCCAGTGGCTGGAAAACAAGCACAGTCCAGATTCCACATCCTAGATTGGCCCCACCCCTGCTCCCTTCAAGTGTGAGAGAGAAATTAAGAGAATTAAAAGAAAGAGGATTCACTTGATTTAAGACAAATATATTTAATTTGAGGTTGGTTGATGTGTGTGCATTGTAATGAATGTTGAAGAAATTTAAAAATGTGATTAACTGATGACAAAGAAGAGAAGTGGACTTCATATGAAGTCTGAAGAGATGGATGGCTGAGATAAAGATAGTCACATTATTATGACAAAAATTTGTGCACAGAGATAAAGAAACACAAATAATGAGAATAGAGAGCAGCATGCTGATAAGTTCAAACAGGGGACCTACTTCTTAAAGGGATAGTTCACCCAAAAATGAAAATTCTGTCATTAATTACTCATCCTCATGTCGTTCCAAGCCCATAAGACCTTTGTTCATCTTCAGAACACAAATTAAGATATTTTTGATGAAATCCGAGAGCTTTCTGACCTTGCATAGACAGCAATGCAACTGACACATGCATTATGTTATTTTTGTTTCCTTGTATCAAATGTAAAATAACACTGCATAGTCTTCACTGTATAAATCTGTGTTAAAGCTACAAAAGTGGTTTTTCTTTGTGTTTTGTTGTTTGATTAACATTCATAACACAGAAAATGCATTATGTTATTTTTGTTTCCTTGGCACACAAAATGTAGTCTATAGCTTCATAACATTAAAGGGTTAGTTCACCCAAAAATGAAAATTAGCCCATAAATTACTCACCCTCAAGGCATCCTAGGTGTATGACTCACCGTGTCTACACCGGACGTGAGTGGCGTGGTGCGACACGACAAAATACAATGAACTAGGGTTGGGTGATGTCTAAGCGTGAAACAAATAACGCGTTCTACAGAGCCACTAAAAGGTTAGCCGCTTGCTAGTGGTAGCCTGTTGCATTACAGTACATGAAAGTTCACTTACCACATACACAGAGTAAGGAGAAGCCGTGTGAGACACTTTTTTTTATTTTTTTTAAGGTTAACCTTTAAGGTTGAACCACTGATGCCACATGGACTATTTTAACAATGGCTTTACAGCCATTCCCCGCCTTTAATCGTGGTAGTTCTGTTGCTGTCTATGCAGGGACAGAAAGCTCTCGGATTTCATCAAAAATATCTTAGTTTGTGTCTGAAGATGAACGAAGATCTTACAGGTTTGGAACGACATGAGGATGAGTAATTAATGACAGAATTTTCATTTTTTGGTGAAATATCCTTTTAAGCTTTTAGAAGCTTTCTAGAAACAAGAGGGTCTGTATTATACCCGGGAGAGCAGTCTGTTAGCATTAACCTTCTCAACTCCCTCAGCTTGGTTTTATTGGTCCAGTCACCTGAGCCGTAAACGTCATGTGACTAATCAAAGCAGGAAAATTACATCATAGCAACACTGATTGGCTGATGGAACAAGAACCCTTTTCATTTTTCTAGTTTTGAAAAAGATGATAAATGATGATAAATTACTGTTAAAATTTGATACAGCTTATTTCTGTTATTGACAGCTGTTTGGTGGGGCTATATGTGTATATTTTCTATTTCTACTAAATGCTTATTATTGGAACAATTTTCAAGTTTTAGTACGTTTTATTCCTGAAATCTCTCTGAATCCCAGTTTCTACTGGGATCTTGATAATCCTGATTTTTTTTTTGTTTTTTTTTGGGATCAAAAGTATGCCAATCCCACTAAAATGTGTTTTGAAGAACCCATATTGTAGGGTTGATCCAGATCAAAACCAAGATTGGATTACACGATCAACTCCAATCTCAGAATCCTTTTTTTCTTTTAAACCAACGATTTTCAAGATTTCATCTAATCTGCCTAAATCTGATCAAATTACTTTTGAACAACTGGGCCTAGAGCTAAACTGGACTGTGCTAACCAGCCAAACCTTGTTTAGAAATCCTCTTGTTTAGCAGTGTTTGTGTTCTGCTGCCACCTGGTGGTGTGGACAGATGTTGTTGCAGGTGGTTTTCTGGTTGACAGATTCTCCTTAGTCACTGAAATACCAACGTGCTGCCAAGTTGTGTTTTTGAAGCGATCATGTTACCGCCGCAGGGCAAGAAAGACCTGACACATAACTGCAAGCACATGCTTTGAAAACAGAGTTTTTTTTTTAAAATTCATTGAAGGTGCCACTCAATCTCACACATGGCTAATATGTGCTTATATACAATATGAGGCATTTGGGGAAAAGAAAGACTTTGACAGGATGGATATTTTAATGTATTGGCTTTCAGCAGTTAATCACTCCAAAGAGGTTGTTATAAAAGCATACTTGCAGCAACCAACTACTTCCCACGAGAAACGCGCAACACTGAGCACTATGCGCTTTAGCAAGAACTGAAACCATGTGCTAATACAAAAAGCACTTGTACATCTCAGTTCCACATTGAGCACTTATTTCATGGAGGGCCACGAGTCAGGTACAAAATGCTGTATGATTTATTCATTCTTTCTCTTTCTTTTTTTCCTCTTATCTCTCATCATTTTGTCTCATATTACATGCTTTAACATTAATTGCCTTAACACATGATGAGTGGGTACAGATATAGTTTCTGCTTACAGTAACACTCGATTACTCCTCGTCTCTTTAAGAGTGTCTAAATCTCATTAGGTTTTGCAATAAATTGAGTGTTTGGAAATTCAGTTGTTTACTTTTCATTGCACACATGTCAGAGAGGAAGAGTCTCCTGTGTTTTGGTGTATTATGGTACTTAAATATCTTGAAATTAACTGTGCAACACCATTTTGCTTTCCCTCTAACCTTTCCCTCCTCCCTTGTTATTCTTTTTGGTTTCCCCTTCTTTCAATCTTACTCCTTTTTCCAATGTAACTTTTTTTTATTCTTGTCTTCCTTCCTTCCTTCCTCCTCCCCCTTTTCCTATCCTTTCCTCCGTTCCACTCCTCCCACAGATGAGCCGACCAGTCCAAGTGCAGATCTGCGGGCACGTCATGTCCCCGCCTCCTCCGTCGTGTCCAGTGGCGGTATAAACTCCGCCCCTGCTGTGGCCACAAGCCCCGCCTCCCCAACCGTCACCTTTCCCCTCAACCGCCTTTTCTCCCACGACTGCAGTGAGTGATGCAGAGAAAGAGAAACACTGTTACTGTTGCTACTAAATGATCAAATCACTGCGTACATGAAAACATCACGACAAGTTTGCGAAATTATGTAAACATTCAGAAGCTGCATGTGATCGCTGTAAAGCTCCTCCTACTGCATGCGTACTCATACAGCACAAATAATGTTTGTGATCGTTCGGTAATGCTCGTGCACCGTCTTTGGACTTCACTGAGACTGATGAAGATGACCACCTTCCCACCTCCTAATCTCAAATTACTTCCTGTATCCTTACCAACTCCACACTAACTGTCCTTCAGCAGCTCTATCTCTTCTTTTCCTGTGTAACAGTTCTTTGTCATCTTCATGGTTTGTAATGAATGGGTGTCTCTCTTTTTCTGTCTCTATAAGCAGGTGATCCCAAGTCTAATCGTCGCTCCTCTTACCTGCTGGCCATCACTACTGAGCGCTCCAAGTCATGTGATGAGGGGCTTAATGCATATAGAGAAGAGGGACGGGTCTTCTCGTGAGTTTTGGGACTTTACTACTAGTATTGAACACAGTTCACACCTCAGTAAAGATGTGTGAGTTGATTTTATGTTTAAATATATTCTCACTGTGCTTCTTCAACAGGAGGATTCCAAAAAGAGTTAAGAGCTTCTTTACTGAAGGGGTGAGTTTAATTTCCTAAATTACCGTAGAAACTGGGTCATACACAATTTCGGCATGAACAAAACTGTATTGTTTTGAGTCAACATTAGTCAACGTAATATGATATATTTCTGTATATAGATCAGATGTTGGATGCTGATTGGTCAATACCGGTTTTATTTTAGTATTATTATTACTTTTTTATGACTAATATTTTTTCATTATTATTATTTTTATATATATATTTTTTTAAAGAAAAGCCTTTTAGAGGCTCGAGATGCAAATTAGCATATGCTGTAGTCACTATGTACAATGCATGTTTTTCAGCTTCTTCTGGCTGTTATCATTTTTAAGTTTAAAAACTGTATGTGCATCTGTCGATTTTCATTCATTTTTGTTTAAAAAAATAGATTTAATTTCGATTAATTTTATTTTGTTTTTAGTAATTTTAGTACTTCAAATTTTTTTATTTCTGTTAGTTGCAAAGGCAACATCTAATTTTTTAAGTTCAAGTTTTTCAGCTAATATTTATATTATTATTGCCTTATTTCATTTAACAAAAACTATTTTTAATAGTTATTTTATTTAACAGTTAGTTTTGACCTCTCCATCATCTATTTTTATTTTGATTGAGTATGCATGTTTAAAAAAAATATTGTACATCAGCTTTAAACGTTCTCTTCCTGTCTTCTGGTTCTTTATATACTGTAGTTCCATGTCAGTGTAACAGTTGAGTATTTCTCTGTTCCGTGTCATGGTTTAGTCTCTGGACAGTCTGGGTGCTGCAGAAGAGGCTCGCTCTAAACGACACTCTACCTCGGAGCTGGGCAGCATCAGCTACAGTGATGTGAAGAGAGAAGGCTGGCTCCACTTTAAACAGATCCACACGGAGAAGGGCAAGGTAAGCCAAACAGACAGCGAGGGTTCATTTATAATCCGGGGGAGTAGTTGTTAGTGGTTAAGATAAATATGTGGGCTTGTAACCGGAATGTTTTAGGTTCAAACTCGCCATGCAAGTTGCTTTGGATAAAAGTGCCAGTTAACAAACCACCGTAATTAGTCACCTGTATGATCTGATGGATGAGATTTGTCTTTTCTCTCTCTTGCAGAAGGTGGGTAGTGCCATCTGGCCTTGGAGGCGGGTGTTCTCCGTGCTTCGGTCCCATTCTCTGTTCCTCTACAAAGACAAGCGAGAGGCAGTGCTCAAAGGGGCGGTGCTGGGAGGCGGGGCCGAAGAGGAGCAGCCAATTAGCATCCGGGGCTGCCTTGTGGACATTGCGTACAGCGAAACGAAGCGCAAACACGCGCTGAGGTTGACCACACAGGACTTCTGTGAATACCTGCTACAGGCAGAGGACAGAGAGGACATGCTGGAGTGGATTAGGGTCATCAGAGAAAACAGCAAGACTGACAATGAGGTGAGAGTGTGAGGATGATGGCACATAGACTTCAACCAAATGAAATTGCAAGACTAAATTTGTTGTTCTGGGTTTGTCCAGATGAATGACACTGGATTTTTGAGGTTGTCATTGTCTGTGCAGGAAGCAGTGTTTGTTTTTGAGATCTGCTTCCTCTCTTACTGCTCTTTACTGTCAGCAGGCTTTGCTATCACTCCCAGGTGTGCTAATAAATGTGAATATGGCCATAATATATGGTCTTTTATCGATATATATATATATATATATATGGACATGCTAAAATAAAAGCTAACATACCTGGAAAATCCATTTAATTTAATTTAATTTAATTTAATTTAATTTATGAATGTGCTAAAACAAAACCCAGCATGCTTGGGAAAAATTTAAATAAAAATAAAGTACATTTTATTTTGTTTTCTATTTTTTATTTTATTTTCTTTTGTGCACATGCTAAAATAAAACCTAACATACATGGGGAAAACTAAAATTCAAATAAAAAATTTTTACTTTGTTCTAATTTTTCTTATTTCTTTTTAGTTTTCCAATTATGTTAGGTTTTATTTTAGTGTGTGAAAATGTTTTCATTTACAGTTTGCTGTAGTTCTCATTACCGATAGCACAGCTTGTCGGTTAATTTCTCCGAACACTTTGGCTCTGTGGCCTGTGGCTTGCATTGTCCAAAATGTCTAAATTTGCTCAACCAGTGGTGTTTGGGTGGGACAATTAATAATTTTTTTATTAAATTGAAATGTTCTTTATTCATATTTGTCTGTAGGAATTGGGTTTCTCACGACAAGCTCTCATCAATAAGAAACTTAATGACTACAGGAAGCAAAGGTAAGATTGGGGATCATTGTAGCATTTTTAACACATTTCACTGTTTCGAATTTAAAACAATCATCCTCTTCTTGGTTCCCTCCTGTAGTCCAACGGGTAATAAACCAGACTCCTCACCCAGAGTGCCTCGAATGACATTTCTGCTCAGTAAGCAAGACAACAGCGCACCTCCACGTTCCCCAAAACACGAGGCCAAAGATGAAAGCAGCCCCCCTAAATCTCCATGGGGCATAAATATAATGAAGAAGGCTAAAAAAGCAAGTCCTAAAGTATTTGGTGTGCGTCTAGAGGACTGCCAGCCTGCTACAAACAACAAGGTGTGTCCTTTTTGTAGTGTGCTAAATGTGTTTCTTCTGCTAACTGATAAGTTTAGGTTAGTATGTTTACATGTGTATTGTTTGTGTAGTTCATTCCCCAGATTGTGGAGATCTGCTGTGGGTTGGTGGAGGACATGGGTCTGGAGTATACAGGGATCTACAGAGTGCCAGGAAACAATGCAGTAGTTTCCAGTCTGCAGGAGCAGCTCAACAAAGGAGGAGACATCAACATCGCTGAGGAGGTGAGCTGTCTACTCACACACACAATCTCTGTCAGAGACACTGTCATTTTTAAATTGCCACTGGCTCTTTGAGGCTGAGTCAACATACTGGTTATATTCACTTCCCATGTTTAAGTGGATGCTTCCTCATACTGAGGACTCGCTGATAATTGGGTTCAACAACAACAACTGCTTTCACTTGTTACTCCTGTACAGAAATGGCAAGACCTGAATGTGGTCAGCAGCCTGCTAAAGTCCTTCTTCCGTAAACTCCTAGAACCCCTCTTCACAGATGGTGAGATTATGAGTTTGCCAACTGTGATTTAGTGCTATTTTATGTGCATAAAACTGTAAATACAGTGGAATCCTGAAGAAATATAAGTATGTCATGTAGTGACATTTTATCCTTCTGTTTCTGTTTCTCGTGATCCTCTTGAAGACAAATACAATGACTTTATTGAGGCCAATCGGATGGAGAATGCCAGTGACAGGCTAAAGACAATGAAGAAACTGGTATGGATTTGTTTTCAGCATGTTACTTTAAAAGCCACTTTCTGCTGTTTACACTACCGTTCAAAAATTTCAGATCTGTACGATTTATTTTATGCTCACCAAGGCCTGCATTTATTCGATCAAATTATTTTATAATATATGCATATTTTCATTCAGGATTGTGTGATCAATCAAAAGTTCAGAAGAACAGCATTTACTTGAAATAGAAATATTTAATTTTGCTTTAATGTCACCTTTAAAAAAAAAAACACGCTGACCCCAAACTTTTGAATGGTAGTGTATAACATTTATTTTGTATTTTCTTTACTTGGTTTTATATTGACTTTTCCTTTTGTCTCTCTTTGTCTTCCTGCAGATACGTGATTTACCAGATCATTACTTCCACACTCTAAAATTCCTAATTGGACACCTAAAGACTGTGGCAGACCACTGTGAGAAGAACAAAGTAATATATTTAAAATACATTTATTTCATACTAAGTATAGTTCAAGTCTATTAACATATTTACTGACATATCGCTTGAGACTTACTGATATAGAAATTATAATTAAACTTTATTTGGAGTACAGCTTGTGCACAATGCACATTTCTTAATATTAAGCCTAAAATGTGTTTTAATGTCACCATTGATGAGGACCGTATGATCTTTGAATAATATCGGCCTTTAAATGCAAGAAATTTAAAGTGTACCTGAAGTATACTTGCAATAGTTCCACTTTAGCACAATCAAATAAACTTCAGTATATCTTTAGTTGGACTTCACTACTTTCACACAATTAAAGTGCATTAAGTACAAAATTAGTTTTTCCGATTTTTAGCAGACTTTAAATATACCAGTTTAGTATACAACAAGTACAATTGCAGAATATTTTTATTAAGCACATAAATATGTAAATGTATTTGTAGTATACTTAGCATGAAATAAATGTATTTCAAATCAATTTTAATGTTTTTTTTTTTTCACTAGGAGTGATTCTGATATTTCAGTATTTTAAATCACAGTGTATTTTTACCTTTGGTAAATGCAAAGCTTAATTAAACACAGGTGTTGTTTTTTATATATTAATTTGGATTTGTGTTGAGTTTAAAAACCAGCTGGATCATGTCTTTTTTCCTTGCCTATGCAGCAGACCTTTGCAAATAGTCTAGAGATTTGAATAAGTAATATTGATGAAATTTTATTACGGATTAGAAGCATCTGAATTGGGCATTTCATGTTAAAAAAGCAGCAGAGTTGCTCATGTAACCTGTTGCATACAGTAGCATGCTGGTTCATGTTAGCTGTAGGATGTTTTACTGAGCGCTTGTGTATGTGCAGATGGAGCCGCGTAATTTGGCGCTGGTGTTTGGCCCCACTCTTGTCCGGACCTCAGAGGACAACATGACAGACATGGTCACCCACATGCCTGACCGCTACAAGATTGTGGAGACTCTCATTCAGCATGTGAGGCACACAGCTGACAAAAAATGTACTACCGGTTTTACAGCTAGTCTTCATTTTAATTGTAATTTTAAACCGTGATTGTCTTGCTCTCTACACAGCATGCCTGGTTTTTCAGTGACGAACACGAAAAAGATGAAAAGGTTTGTTTGTTTTTATTTACTATTATTGAGATTCATAAAAAATCATAAATTATTAAGTGATCTATATGACTAAATAACTAAGCATTTAAAATCAGTGCTTAATTTGAGCCGGATCCTGTTCCAGAAAATGTCAGATTTTGGATTTTTCGTTCCGGTAATTGTTTTTAAGGATCCGCCATTAGATAGTGACAGTGCGTGCGTGCATATGAGAGCGAGTGCATATTTGGAGGTTATGCATTGGTCCTCAACATATTTTTGACCGTGACCAGTCAGCTTTCTTCAAACTCACTCTCATTGATGTTTTGTGAGCAGCAGAAGGTTTGGAGAGAGTGTAATAATACCAGAAATAATACCAAATAAAGTGAACTATTATAATGTATAAACATTATAAAAACTATAAACATAGCTATACGTTAGTATAGCTCACTCCAAAACAAATCATATAAATGTACGGTATTCAGAACAGAACAAGAATGAAATAAAAACATATAAACCAAAACAAAGCGAAACTGAAAGTACCAGGTGTTAATTGGGCTCACGTACCTCTCTTTCTGCACAAATCCTAATGTTTCCATATTCACGATGTAGCCTATTTGAATGAAACTATTATTTATAATGTAGAGGCTTTGTACTTCACGCACGTTCGTATATCGACAGAAATATCATCTTCACATGAGCAAAAATGTGCTTGGCATACAAAGTGAACCAGTTATACCGCGGACTATTTAAATTGACCAGTGTAACCTTTTTTTTTGGTTGACTGTATTTTATTTTGATAATGAACAGACTATGATCTTTGAGTTGCGAATATGTGGTGTGTGTGTGTGTGTGTGAGCGCGCGTGGCGCCGGTGCGATCGAATAGCTGAAACATAAAATACATAATTTTTGGTCATACAGATAAGAGTAAGACATCATTCGAAAGCACAAAGTGTTTACTTTAATTTTTGCACACTCAAAATAACAACAGAACATTTGTGATTTTGTAAAATAAA